TATCTTTTAATAATTTATTTCAATTTATTTAAATTTTTGAAAAACGGGTTTTGAAACCAAACATTACGGAATACGGAATCCAGAAATAATCAAAAATATTTTCGCAGATTTCTCATTAGAATCGCCCCTTAGCATCTGATCGCGATTGTCATACAGTACCAGGTCTTTTACATGCTGTCAGTGATTTCACGTTTATCTGCTTACCTTTACCTTTAAGCTGATCTGCTTGAGGAAGTTAATCTTACACATCAGTATGTGCAGAATAACTAACACACATATTCTAGTGAAGGTCTGAGATAACTCTCTTATGACCCCGGCTAGTAAATTGGCTACCAGCTCCATCTGCTGAGCTGAGCCATACAACATTTTCCTCACGTAAGACTCTACATCCGTCCTGGCCTCCTCCGGGACATCTAGTGAAGGACATTCGGTCAACAGGTGCGCTAGTGTCTCCAGGACAAGGCTTCAATGCCGGCATGTAGGGACCCTGTTGTCATCTAGCCGCCAGAGGCATGTGCCTATGGGGCTTTTGTCCGTGCTCTCTTCCGTTCACGAACCATCTCTGTCAACCTCTTGTTCCCGTTGGTTCTAGGGACAGTTTTCTTTGCCACTGTGAGAATAAAACTCAGGAAATTGCCGTATGCAGCGTCGGTTCTCTCGGAGGTATCGGGAATCCCTGCTGATTCCTCGATCGTGCTCTCTATTCTTTCACGGAACAGATTTCACTTGGCTTTGCTGAACAGCCAGTGCTTCCTAGCAAACCTTAGCTTCGCCAGCACAAGATCGATTGTGATGAGGGTCTGTCGATGGTCACTGCCAACCTCATCTAAGACTTCGCACTGAATCTTTGCCTCGAGCTCGGCCGAGACCAGTGTTACATCGGCGCGGGACATGGCACTATATTGCCAGCATGGGGCAGTGCAGCCTAATGAGGTTGGTCGTGAGCTCGACCTCCTCTAAGTAGCACCCTGAGGTGTTAAAATCGGGATAGCGCACATATGGTCGTTAAAATCCCCTACTATGATTCTATCTGTAAAGAAGGCTATGCCATGCAAAGCTAAGATTCGAACTCCATGGATGACCCCCATTCAAAGCTAAGATTTGAACTCCATAGATGACCCCAGTCAAAGCTAAGATTCAAACTCCATAGATGGCCCCAGTCAAAGCTAATGCACAGCTTCGAACTCCATGGATGACCCCAGTCAAAGCTAAGATTCAAACTCCATGGATGGCCCCAGTCAAAGCTAATGTATAGATTCGAACTCCATGGATGGCCCCAGTCAAAGCTAAGGCGCAGATCGAACTCCATGGATGGCCCAAATCAAAGCTAATGCACAGATTCCAACTCCAGGGATGGCCCAAATCAAAGCTAATGCACAGATTCCAACTCCATGGATGGCCCCAGTCAAAGCTAATGCACAGATTCCAACTCCATGGATGGCCCCAGTCAAAGCTAATGTACAGATTCCAACTCCATGGATGGCCCAAATCAAAGCAAATGTACAGATTCCAACTCCATGGATGGCCCCAGTCAAAGCTAATGCACAGATTCCAACTCCATGGATGGCCCAAATCAAAGCTAATGCACAGATTTAAACTCCATGGATGGCCCAAATCAAAGCTAATTCACAGATTCCAACTCCATGGATGGCCCCAGTCAAAGCTAATGTACAGATTCCAACCCCATGGATGGCCCAAATCAAAGCTAATGTATAGATTCCAACTCCATGGATGGCCCAAATCAAAGCTAATGCACAGATTCCAACTCCATGGATGGCCCAAATCAAAGCTAATGCACAGATTCCAACTCCATGGATGGCCCAAATCAAAGCTAATGCACAGATTCCAACTCCATGGATGACCCAAATCAAAGCTAATTCACAGATTCCAACTCCATGGATGGCCCCAGTCAAAGCTAATGTACAGATTCCAACTCCATGGATGGCCCAAATCAAAGCTAATGTATAGATTCCAACTCCATGGATGGCCCAAATCAAAGCTAATGTACAGATTCCAACTCCATGGATGGCCCAAATCAAAGCTAATGCACAGATTTCAACTCCATGGATGGCCCAAATCAAAGCTAATGTACAGATTCCAACTCCATGGATGGCCCAAATCAAAGCTAATGTATAGATTCCAACTCCATGGATGGCCCAAATCAAAGCTAATGCACAGATTCCAACTCCATGGATGGCCCAATTCAAAGCTAATGCACAGATTCCAACTCCATGGATGGCCCAAATCAAAGCTAATGCACAGATTCCAACTCTATGGATGGCCCAAATCAAAGCTAATTCACAGATTCCAACTCCATGGATGGCCCCAGTCAAAGCTAATGTACAGATTCCAACTCCATGGATGGCCCAAATCAAAGCTAATGTATAGATTACAACTCCATGGATGGCCCAAATCAAAGCTAATGTACAGATTCCAACTCCTTGGATGGCCCCAGTCAAAGCTAAGGCGCAGATTCCGATTCGAACTCCATGAGCGTCGCATTCGCAATCTGTATATAAAGAATCTATCTCCGTTTCATACCAAAAGAACATTAAATTTTTTTAGCATATCTTGGAATCAAAGTAGCTTTGATAGACCAACCGATACATCAGAATTGAAAATGAGATTCACTAGCTATGATGATTTAATTTTTTTTTAAAGTTTAAGGGAGATAATTAGTCTTCTCTATGTTCACTACACTACAATTTACAATAAACTAAATTATTTCCCTTTACGGTAGGCCTACATTTTGATTGTCTTTCAATTCTTCAGGACAGGAACATCTTTTCATTATTATTATGAGATACTTGACAGGGAGACAAAATACAGTAACGTGTTTAACTTCTTTGAAATAATTGAATTACATTTATGGTAATATGACATATCATACATATATTACTTACGTTAAAAAGTCCAATTTTAGACTCCCCTTGTTGCACCCGTAATTTTGTGTGCCCACCCCCACCCCACCTATGCGTACTTACAATTAGCTGACAGCAGTCCCACCCCCCTAAAGCTTTATGACGTGTAAGACAGTTAAATGAAGTTGCACCTTGTTAAACCAGTGTTTCCTAACTAGTGGCCTTGCCCCCACATTGTGGCAGTTTCAAGATCACAGGAGGACATCATATGGTTCATTAAACACCTGTAGTGTTGTCATATATTGCAATAAAAATATATTTCAATTATGTAAGTTTTATCTTAAGGCCTGAAAAGGTAGCAAAACTGAAATGTCATTTTTTCTTTACGCAGCAAGGAGACCATTTTTTCTCTCCATCTATCAAACTTTGGAAGTCAAAAAGTGCAGCATCTGCATCCTTGAAATTGTCGTATTACATGAGAAGTCACCATATCAATATGTGAAGCGACAAGTACAATTTATCTATGTGGCTTTGGCCTTTGATCGCAAGCTTTTTCGTGATTTTAATTTAATACTTCGACCAGTGAACTTAAAGTTAGTGGTAGCTGCTTTTATTTGTACCAGAAGAAAATTTTAATTGTGTGTTTGAATGGGCAATGTTTTTGTTTTTTTTATGTTAAATCAATTTACATTCAGAGACTTTGAAATTCATCTTAAAATTAACACTTGAAACTGGGTACAAGGCAAGCAGATGTGTCAAAGCAGCGTTCCCCAAATGATGGTTCAACGAGCGGCAATCAGGCGCTAATATTCTAATTTGTGAGTTCTATGCTTGGGTAAATAGCTAAGTCATCATATCCGGGATTTTGTAAGCATTCGTTGTTTTACAAAAAGTGCTTCTTTTGTGGATAATTTATAGATGAAAATGTGTACCGGTATATTTAAAAGTAGAAAAGAAAAAATATGTTAACAACTTTTGTAAAAAGACTTTCTTTCGAAGACGAGTTTTAACGTACTAAAAAGTGGAAATTAATGTCCAAATCTGCTTCTTCCCCCTCCCCCCCCCCACACTTCTCCATTCCGTTGTCGCCCCTGTATTGATTTTAAAAATAAAAAAGAAAAAATATGTTAACAACTTTTGTAAAAAGACTTTCTTTCGAAGACGAGTTTTAACGTACTAAAAAGTGGAAATTAATGTCCAAATCTGCTTCTTCCCCCCTCCCCCCCCCCCACACTTCTCCATTCCGTTGTCGCCCCTGTATTGATACCGTTACTGGAGCTCGTAAAACTTCTTACTGCTCCAAGATCCAAAAATGAACACATCACTAAAAAAGACAAGTGACTGGATCTCTAATATATATATATATATGCTCAGTTTATGGAAGATACTCCAGACGAGTGAGAACGCAAAGAAACAATTATTATTACTGTTTTTATACTATATGACGCTTAGAAAAGCTGCGTTTAGCATTGAGAAATATACAAATATTAAATGGCAAATAATGATGATGAGCTCGGCAGGTCATAATGGAAGGAAACCGGATTGTAGAGCAGCAAAAGTGATATACAGGCAGGAAAAAAGGGGCAGACGGCTTAACGGTCGACCAAGAATGAGATGGATCGACGATGTTGGGGATTCGCGCAAGGAGGCGGAAAGCGATGGATCGATCCGAATGGTGGAGCAGGCCTTACGTGGGCTGTAGCGCCACTGATGATGATGATCCATTTCATTAAATAGAAGTCTCAAGATCAAATTATAATGCTTTTTAAAACTAGAGGCGCAGTTTTGATACCTATACCCGGAAGAAGATTCTTGAAGTTACAGAGTTATGAGGTTATCATTGCTTCGCGAGTTTTGTAACTTGAGTTTGTTGCAAAACTGTTGGTCCGTGAGTGTCGTAACTCTTGTTACAAAATATATACGGTGTTGAAAATGTGTTTATATATAGCGAAGTATTTATAGTATAGCTAGCAATAAAAATCAGTTATAGGCCTACATCACTGCCACGAGACGACCATAATCTACTGACTCCAGTCCAGGGAAAATAAATATTTTAAAGTGCACATAATTTTCTGTATCGGAAAATTGAGACGCGCCAAAAGCTCTTTTTTGCTCGGAAGACACACCTTCCTGTGACGTCATTTAAAAAGAAAGTCTTCAAGATGTCAGTGACGAGGCTGTCGTTCAGCTTGTGGAGAAACTTGGACCGAGCAAGAGTCTCCCTGGAGACGTGGACATGAATCTTATTTCAACTTTGTCTGAGCCGGAGAAGCAAAGAGACGATCTGGCCGCCGAACGACCATGGAATCACGCCTAAGATGGCGGCCCTGCCAGTGGTGCAGGCGCCTTGGGAAGAACTCATGGAAGCGACGCTCCGTTAATGTCGCTATCGTTTTTCTCGGTATTCTCGTGGCGCTGCCCGTGGGTTTGAACTGGGAGGACACCAGGTAAACCTGTGACTTGAGAATCGCCTAGGGTTAGGGCGAGGGTTCTTAGACTTGCTTATTTGGAGACATAGCACCCAGACGTCATTTGCGTGTTTTGTCCCTGGATCCGATATGGTCAAAACCCTGGTACCGATAGGGTCAAAACCCAGGTTAGCAGTAATTTTAGGGTTCATGTTAGGTTTAGGGATACATTTAGGACATGCGTTTGCGGGTCGCGGCATCCAAGATAACGGCCGCGGTGCTATCTCTCCAAATTTACCCAAATAAATCTGATTTTATGGGTCTTCCGGACAGCATGAGAGCGCCTGATAATTACTTTTGGGTTAAGGTATCGGGTTGCTTAGAAGATAAAGAATACATCGCTGTGGTTCAGATTTTTTCATGAGACTTCTATAACCCTACTTTCGATATAGACGGGGCTCTAAAGTCAAAACTCTTAATTAAGCAACTATAAAGTACTGCCGATATGTAGTGGCCGTTACTTGACATGGTATACAATCATTTGACGCCACTGCCAGAGTCTAACACATTTTCAGCGCTCAAGTGAAATGTATGTTTGTGTTAACTAAATGGTAAATCAATCAAAGAAAAATCAATTTTAATATTTATGTAATTTAAAAAATAATAAAAATAATAATAAATGCTCCTTAACATACATTTGGTGCGGCCATTTTTATATGTTCGGCCATGTTTGGTCACAGTCGACACTGCGTACTCTATTCTGTTACACATGGAAAAAAATTAATTGATTTTCCTTATAGAGTTCAATGATATAATAATGAGTCAATGACTTATAGCAGTATGGGCGCCCATACAGGACATATTGGGTAAATGAGAGGCTAAAATTATGTATTAGAATCACACATACTCTGATTCAATATTAAACCAAAAGTGAAAAGCTTTGATCGCAAAGAAGGGGCGATGGTTAAGGGGGAGGGGGGTACGGTATTTGCTTTTTGTCACCATTAGCCTCGGCAAGTTTCACATCGTTGACAAACACATCAACCAGTGTCAATTGTTGACTGGCTTCAATGTCACAGATCAACTGCTGTCAATTGTTGACTGGCTTCAATGTCACAGAGCAACTGCTGTCAATTGTTGACTGGCTTCAATGTCACAGATCAACTGCTGTCAATTGTTGACTGGCTTCAATGTCACAGATCAACTGCTGTCAATTGTTGACTGGCTTCAATGTCACAGATTAACTGGAATTATTTCAAAGCTATATTATAATTTATCAGCGCCAAATACATTCAAAATAATAAGAAGTTGTCAATCCGAGGCAATTATAAACCCCTCCAACCCCCTTTCCCACATAATTAGGGGCTGTCACTTGTATGCAGGTGACGTCTGGTTAATTATACGTCCGATGTCTACAGGTATGCAAGCTGCGCCAAGTTTATCTGGGAGTCTGTCCTAGGCACAGCGGGCAATAGGGAGATTACCTTTGAACGACTCTTGATAGTTCTGGTAATTAATCGTGTCGTTGTCCCAGAGTCTCATCAATCAACAGTGTTATGCTACACAGCTTCTAGTCTCATCAATCAACAGTGTTGTGCTACACAGCTTCTAGTCTCATCAATCAACAGTGTTGTGCTACACAGCTTCTAGTCTCATACAATCAACAGTGTTGTGCTACACAGCTTCTAGTCTCATCAATCAACAGTGTTGTGCTACACAGCTTCTAGTCTCATCAATCAACAGTGTTGTGCTACACAGCTTCTAGTCTCATACAATCAACAGTGTTGTGCTACACAGCTTCTAGTCTCATACAATCAACAGTGTTGTGCTACACAGCTTCTAGTCTCATCAATAAACAGTGTTGTGCTACACAGCTTCTAGTCTCATACAATCAACAGTGTTGTGCTACACAGCTTCTAGTCTCATACAATCAACAGTGTTGTGCTACACAGCTTCTAGTCTCATACAATCAACAGTGTTGTGCTACACAGCTTCTAGTCTCATCAATCAACAGTGTTGTGCTACACAATTTCTAGGGTCATACAATCAACAGTGTTGTGCTACACAGCGTCTAGTCTCATACAATCAACAGTGTTGTGCTACACAGCTTATAGTCTCATACAATCAACAGTGGTGTGTTTCACAGCTTCTAGTCTCATCAATCAACAGTTTTATGCTACACAGCTTCTAGTCTCATACAATCAACAGTGTTGTGCTACACAACTTCTAGTCTCATACAATCAACAGTGTTGTGCTACACAACTCCTAGTCTCATACAATCAACAGTGTTGTGCTACACAACTTCTAGTCTCATACAATCGACAGTGTTGTGCTACACAACTCCTAGTCTCATACAATCAACAGTGTTGTACTACACAGCTTCTAGTCTCATACAACCAACAGTGTTGTGCTACACAACTTCTAGTCTCATATAATCAACAGTGTTGTGCTACACAGCTTCTAGTCTCATACAATCAACAGTGTTGTGCTACACAACTTCTAGTCTCATACAATCAACAGTGTTGTGCTACACAGCTTCTAGTCTCATACAATCAACAGTGGTGTGCTACACAGCTATTAGTCTTAGTCAATAGTGCCTATTTTATTTAACTTTACTTGTTAATTTCGCTCAAGTTCAACTAAAAAGGTAAGCGTTAACTGAAACTTACCCCAGTGTGAAAGTTAAACTTAAAACTTACCCCAGTGTTAAAGTTAAACTGAAACTTACACCAGTATTAAAGTTAAACTGAAACTTACACCAGTGTTAAAGTTAAACTGAAACCTACCCCAATGTTAAACTAAAACTTACCCCAGTGTTTAAGTTAAACCGAACCTTCCCCAAGTGTTAAAGTTAAACTGAAACTTACCCCAGTGTTAAAGTTAAACTTAAACTTACCACAATGTTAAACTAATACGTACCCCAGTGTTAAAGTTAAACTGAAACTTACTCCAATGTTAAACTAAAACTCACCCCAGTATTAAAGTTAAACCTTACTTGGCGATTGCCTCGATTATCATTAAAAAAACACAACTTTATTAACGTTAGTTAAAATTGAACTGATAGAGTTGCTGATTCAACAGTTGAACTGATAGAGTTGCTGATTCAACAGTTATAGATTATAACTATATAACTGATGTCTTTGTAGATTGACGTAAAAGCGGAAGTTCGTTTATATTTTCAATTTTCACGTCTGCCTCCTACCACCCCCCCCCCAACCACACAACACACGCACTCACACTTTTACCTTCCCATCCACCCAGGCCACGTTAATATATACCTTTATGCATGGGGAAGGAGGGGGGTAAACAAAATGTATTTCTACTTGGTAGGCAGCCAACAATATAAGAGGGTGACAGGTTTTAAGGGAAGTGTAGTGGGGGGCTGCACCGTCAATGACCTGGTCGTTACTGAGCCTGGTCGAGACGACACGAAGCCTGACAAGAGTTCGAATGTAGGCTAGGCAGGAGTCATAGGTTGTGTCAAGGTAGTGGTCGTAGGTTGTATCAAGGTACAAGTCTTAGTTTGTATCAAGGTACAAATCTTAGGTTGTATCCAGGTGCAATTCTTAGTTTGGTATCAAGGTGCAATTCTTAGTTTGGTATCCAGGTGCAATTCTTAGTTTGGTATTAAGGTATAATTGAACCTCAACTTAAAGTTGATATATTTCAGCGAACAACAGGTGTCATTTATCTAAATTTTTACGTAGTTTTCTGTGCCGTCAGCTGATCTGATGGACACAATCGTTTGTTTTACCAACAGTTTATGAGATATACTACATTAAATTTGTACAATTTACCAACTGTTGTGAGATCTACTACATTTACTTTCTACAATTTAACAATTGTTGTGAGATCTACTAAATTAACTTTGTACAATTTATAAACTGTTGCAAGATCTAATACACGTATTTGTACAATTTACCAACTGTTGTGAGATCTAATACATTTACTTTGTACAATTTACCAACTGTTATGTGATCTACTACATTTACTTTGTATAATTTACCAACTGTTGTGAGATCTACTACATTTGCTTTGTACAATTTACCAACTGTTGCGAGATCTACTACATTTACTTTGTACAATTTACCAACTGTTGTTTGTACAATTTACCAACTGTGGGAGATCTACTTCATTTACTTTGTACAATTTACCAACTGTTGTTAGATCTACTACATTAACTTTGTGCAATTTACCAACTGTTGCGAGATCTACTACATTTACTTTGTACAATTTACCAACAGTTGCGAGATCTACTACATTTACTTTGTACAAGTTACCAACTTTGCGAGATCTACTACATTTACTTTGAACAATTTACCAACTGTTGCGAGATCTAATACATTTACTTTGTACAATTTACCAACTGTGGGAGATCTACTTCATTTACTTTGTACAATTTACCAACTGTTGCTAGATCTACAACATTAACTTTGTGCAATTTACCAACAGTTGTGAGATCTACTGCATTTACATTGTACAATTTACCAACTATTGCGAGATCTACTACATTTACTTTGTACAATTTACCAACTGTTATGTGAGCTACTACATTAACTCAGTACAGTTTACCAACTGTTGTGAGATCTACTACATTTGCTTTGTACAATTTACCAACTGTTGCGAGATCTACTACATTTACTTTGTACAATTTACCAACTGTTGTTTGTACAATTTACCAACTTTGCGAGATCTACTACATTTACTTTGAACGACTTACCAACTGTTATGTGAGCTACTACATTAACTTAGTACAATTTACCAACTGTTGGGAGATCTACTTCATTTACTTTGTACAATTTACCAACTGTTGTTAGATCTACAACATTAACTTTGTGCAATTTACCAACTGTTGTTAGATCTACTGCATTTACATTGTACAATTTATCAACTGTTGCGAGATCTACTACATTTACTTTGTACAATTTACCTACTGTTGCGAGATGTACTACATTTACTTTATACAATTTACCAACTGTTACGAGATCTACTACATTTACTTTGTACAATTTACCAACTGTTGTTTGTACAATTTACCAACTTTGCGAGATCTACTACATTTACTTTGAACAATTTACCAACTGTTATGTGAGCTACTACATTAACTTAGTACAATTTACCAACTGTTGGGAGATCTACTTCATTTACTTTGTACAATTTACCAACTGTTGTTAGATCTACAACAATAACTTTGTGTAATTTACCAACAGTTGTGAGATCTACTGCATTTACATTGTACAATTTATCAACTGTTGCGAGATCTACTACATTTACTTTGTACAATTTACCAACTGTTGCGAGATCTACTACATTTACTTTGTACAATTTACCAACTGTTGCGAGATCTACTACATTTACTTTGTACAATGTATCAACTGTTGCGAGATCTACTACATTTACTTTCTACAATTTACCAACTGTTGCGAGATCTACTACATTTACTTTGTACAATTTACCAACTGTTGCGAGATCTACTACACGTACTTTGTACAATTTACCAATTGTTGTGAGATCTACTACATTTACTTTGTACAATTTACCAACTGTTGCGAGATCTACTACATTTACTTTGTACAATTTACCAACTGTTGCGAGATCTACTACATGTACTTTGTACAATTTACCAACTGTTGTGACATCTACTACATTTGCTTTGTACAATTTACCAACTGTTGCAAGATCTACTACATTTACTTTGTACAATTTACCAACTGTTGCGAGATCTACTACATAAATTTTGTACAATTTACAAACAGTTGCGAGATCTACTACATTAATTTTGTACAATTTACCAACTGTTACGAGATCTACTACATTTACTTTGTACAAACAAGACACGTGTCGACTTAGTGACCGCTCAAAGTTGTCATTTTATAATTTTTTTCTTGTCATTCTCACGCATTCCAGATTATTTTGTTGGCTTGCTGATGTCTGGTGCTACTTTGATACGATATGAATACGTTAAAATTGGCCGGGTTAATACTTTGGGTTATTGCTACAGCAAAAATTCAGGCTTACCAGATTTTAATAAAAAATTAATTTGTGGATGGCTGGAACTCGTTAACCATGGATGGAAACTAATCTATAAGAAGGTAAACTGTAAAATCAAACCCGGATATGGCGTCCCGTAGGCAGCATGACATTGACAAGATGACGATTCCGACAACTGCTGTGATTGGAACGCAGAAGGGCACAGTGAAACACACAAGACACACCTCTGGTCATCTGCTGCATCATGGTCAATTTCCAGTGGTCTCAACTAAGTGTTGCCATTTGATCAAATAGGCAAGGGCGAGACGGTGGGTCTGATGAAGGGAGCAACTCTCCCTCTCTTTAAACAAAAATACAGCTCAAGTCTACTACTCAAGTCGAAAAATTGCCATGGATATCTTCGCGTGTGAAAACAATATTAAAAACTCCACTAAATAGATTTCATATTTCCCGAATCCTTATTTTAGTAATGCGATGCTGTGTTTTTTTTTTCGGTCATAAGTGATCAGATCTCGGCAATAATGAAGAATGTTGTGTGATGTTTTATGATAGATGTACCTGAGATTGTCCAGGGTGAAATAAACGCATTTTGGGCCACGGGAAATGCCTGGATCTGGAGATCCGGGTGTTCCAAGAAAAGTGTCTGGGATGTGAAAAGGTTTGATGAGAAGGCGCGTGTTGTTTGTGTTCCGCCGGGAACTCACCGAGATACAACTTGCACATTATTAGTTAGAAGATGGACGCACCACGGTGCGGCCCTGCGCAGGGACGTACGACGCTGCTACTGAACGCCCTTTCAGACATGCGTCTGCTCTCACAAAAGGGATAAGGCCAAGAAGGTCGATTTTCACACACTGCTCTTAAGGAGTCTTATGTTGTCATCTTGAAGGCACGTGAGAACACATATCGTCGAAGGTGGCACCTCTGCTAGTTATTTACCAAATGAACAGGTGGTTTGGGCTGGTGCATAAATACGGGAGTTTTGTGCGTTTATTTTTGCTTGTGTAGGCCTACTATAATTTTTATAAGGTAAAACATTCTATTTCCCCTTCAATGTATGAGGTGAATTAACAGGACCATATGGTCAAGCCACTGGGTTAAAAAGCCTGATTTTTTTAATTATTATTTTTCTTAAGGTTATTGTTTTTTTCGGGGGGGATTTATATGAATGTATCTGTTATCCTTGAAATGCATTGCAGCAACATGACTGTTTATTTTTTATTCAGACCCTGTCTTTGTTGACTTAAAGGACATCTAAACTATTTTTATAGGCTTAAAATATATTTTACTGCAAATATTAACTATGCTTTTTTGTGTACACCCTTAAAAGCTTGTTTTAACATACACTTGTCTGACATCCCTAGGGTACTTGTCTAGTGCTGACCGCCATGATTTCTATTCTACACATCGCATTTAAAGTACCTTTCAATTTATTCGCGAATGTTGAGCCAACCCTCTCTAGCGATAAACGCATCACAGCAGACGTCAGATATGTAAAACCTGGGGTTGAGGTGCGCACAGATCACGGTGAAGATGGGGGGAGCCAATGGGCAGGACGTGACGTGCTAGCTCCACCAAGCGCCAGCAGCTGGACGGTCCTGGCCAACAACAAGTCCAACAACAGCCTTACCACCACGACACCTTTTGATGACGATTACCAGTCCGAGGGTGAGGGCACCCCACTACTGACAAACACCCCGACACCATTTGACAATGAATCTGTCACCATCACCCAACAGGATCTTGTCAACTGTTTGACCGAGAATGAGTCAGCGCGCGTAGAGCCAACCTCGCAAGAAACTTTGGCTCAAAATCAAGGTGAGTTAGTTAATGTTTTTCCATTGAAATATGGAGCAAAATATAAGTTACTTATTATAACTAAATATAATCTACACATAACCTAGATGTAATCAACCAATGTACACAAAACAAACATGAGTATATGCTCTACAATTTACATTTAACATTTCAAAATTTAAATATTTTTTTTTTTTTATAAATACGATAATGCGCTTGATTGGACGAAGAATACATTCACGTTAATATGCCGTAAATGGAACACCTTGTTGATCAATCCTCGTGCAATACAATCCTAAGGGAACGCTTTTATTGTTTAAAGTGGGCAAGAGGAAGACCAGATGTATAATTCTTCTTCTGAAATTTGGATTGTCGCATGACCAAAAATCTGCTACGATCTCAAAGTGAGGCTTGGTAAACAAAACCAATCCTTGAGTCGTGCATGTGCGTTAGAGTTCTGCGTGTGCGTTAGAGTTCTGCGTGTGCGTTAGAGTTCTGCGTGTGCGTTAGAGTTCTGCGTGTGCGTTAGAGTTCTGCGTGTGCGTTAGAGTTCTGCGTGTGCGTTAGAGTTCTGCGTGTGCGTTAGAGTTCTGCGTGTGCGTTAGAGTTCTGCGTGTGCGTTAGAGTTCTGCGTGTGCGTTAGAGTTCTGCGTGTGCGTTAGAGTTCTGTGTGTGCGTTAGAGTTCTGCGTGTGCGTTAGAGTTCTGTGTGTGCGTTAGAGTTCTGCGTGTGCGTTAGAGTTCTGCGTGTGCGTTAGAGTTCTGCGTGTGCGTTAGAGTTCTGTGTGTGCGTTAGAGTTCTGTGTGTGCGTTAGAGTTCTGTGTGTGCGTTAGAGTTCTGCGTGTGCGTTAGAGTTCTGCGTGTGCGTTAGAGTTCTGTAATGCAAGTGATGAGTGTGAGGGATCTCTGAGGCGCAGGAGCACCAGTGCTCTCAAAGTTGTTATTTCAATGTATACCAAATGCTTCTGCGATAACTCCTATGAAATAAAATAAAAAAAATAACAAAACAAAAATTTTCTTGCCGATAAAGTTAGATCTAGAACTTGAATTTTTTTAGAGAATTTTTTAAATTGTGTATTTTCACACTTTTGAAGTCGGAAAATAAAAAACGTCTGAAAAGCCATCTTTATTTTTTTATGTTTTAATAACTTTTGAATTAATGGTTCTAGCCGCTTTAAAAAATTGGGCTTTAAATATGTATATTTTTGAGCAAGTTCACCTAGTTTGGAACTTCTAGGATTATTAGTTTAGTGGTTATGGTTCCACAAACATGGACCATTTGACAAAATGAAAAAAAAAAGCCAATTTCTTATCGATTTTTATCAAATTTTAAAACTTCATAACTTTTTTATTTATTGAGCTATTGTAATAAACAAGGTATCAAAATTCTTGTATTAAAAAGTCCTATCAAGAGATTGTCCTTAAAATGGTCTACAATTAAAAGATAAATTTTGGTTTGGACTACCTAAATTAAGAGAAAAAAATTAGGACATTAAAAAAATATGATTATTTGTTACCATTGTCTATAATCAGGTTGTGTTTTAACTTGGGTTTATAATCTTTGCGGTGATTTATATCCATGTTTTATAAAGCCACCAATAACAATTCGTCTGGTGATTTATATCCATGTTTTATAAAGCCACCAATAACAATTCGTCTGGTGATTTATATCCATCTTTCCTTACTGACCCCCACCTCCGCACATCGTTCTTTCTTTATTATGTTTAATCAATGGTTTACTCTTTTGTTCTATACTGTCGGTTAACGAGCCATTTCAAAACAAGAGATTGGATTTCTTAAACAGATAAATATACGTAACAATGATAAAACAACACTATGAGACCACTAAGGATTAAAGAACAATATGGGACCACTAGGATTAATCAACAATATGGGGCCACTAGGATTAAACAATAAAATGGGACCACTAAAGATTAAGCAAGAATATGGGACCAATTGGATTAAACAATAATATGGGACCACTAGGATTTAAAATATTCAATCATTAATTGAAGACTAAATATTCTTTTTCTCAGCTGAAGTGTCGCACAAAGAAGACATCTTCAGTGGCACGGAGACTCAGACAGATGAAGAAATTGAAATCGTGTTGACCTCTGTTGGCACAATGACCTTGAGTCCTAATCTGGTGGACGTGTCTGTCAACACCCACCAGAGGGTGTGCAAGATAGTGAAGTAGGTGTTGAAATGTCTGTAGCGTTCTCCTGAATACGAGTGTTAATATCTTTTGAGCACAGAAGACGGTGTACCATACCATTTATATATAATTTAAATTTATCCTGAACCAAGTTTACACTTAAGGTTAATACAAATACATTATATAAAGGTGATGACTAAAAACAGAGCACTTATAGTCAGAGTCACAGTCAGAATCACAGTTAGGGCCAGAGTCACAGTTGCAGTCAGAGTCGCAGTCAGAGTCAGTCACATTTACAGTCAGAGTAACACAGTCAGAGTAACAGTTACTGACAGACTCACAATCACATTCACAGTCAGAGTGGCAGGCAGAGTCACAGTTGCAGTCAGAGTCATTGTCACAGTCACAGCAGCACAGTCAGAGTAACAGCTACTGTCAGAGTCACAGTCACATCCACACTCAGATTCACAGTTACTGTCAGAGCCACAGTCAGAGTCACTGTCACAGTCAGAGTCACAGTTACAGCCATGTGATATAATTTTAAGGCATGCAATGCTAAAAGTAAATGTGAAAGTTACAAAAATGCCTCTTCCTGGACCGGATCTCTAGCAAAGCCGTCATACGGGCCCTCCAACACATGCGACTGGACGAGGCCTAAGTTATTTAAGGGTCCCAAGTTGTGAAGTGTAAAATAACTTAATGATAATGCAAAATATTTTCGGTTTTCGCTATTTATATATTTTATTTTAAAATTTCAGGAATTGTGGGACTTCAACATCCGGGCCTTTCATGAAGAAACTCCGTAGAGCTCAACGTCTGCTGAAAGAAGCAAAGTTCAAGGCCAAAGTGGAGCGACAAGAAAAGGTGGGGAGATGGAGAGAAGTCATGGACAGATACAAAGAGAAACGTAAGAGTTTGTTGTTTTTTTTTAAATTGTAATTACAAATAAATTAAATTTCTTTAATGTATCATGTTGCTATTGGTATGTGGTACAATGACAGCGTCTAAAATAGATGGTAAATCAGCGGTGACAACTTGTGCTGGTGCAATTTTATCTCACTTTCAATCAGTGCTAGAATATTGACTCTGCTGTCTATAGGCATCAGACAATTACATACCGGTATTTAAAATGCTAGACTCTTAGGCTATTAATACTAGCAGAAAACGGTAATGGTAATCTGAGGAGGTGGTAAGTTGTACGTGATACACTCAATATCATTTTTATTACTGTGAATCGGGAAATTTAACGACTTTATGAGCGAATATATTTACCACGGAGAAATACAAAGGAAGGCTGTGATCACGAAATAACAACTAAGTTAGATAAAGCAACAAGGAACAAAAGGGAATAGAAAAGTTGGGGATAAGGTACACCAATAGATAGTTTATTTTCTGACCAGATCAGTTGTCTAGGCTAGTAGTGTACTGTGGTTTTTTTAAATTTTTAATGTTTATGCCCCCCCCCCCTGTTTTTTAAAATATTTTCTTAAGGCTTCGGCCTTCAGGTTCATTATTTGATGGTAAATAAAACTCTAGGAATCATAAGCTATTATCTTATTCTCTGTCTGCATGTCTCTGTCTCTCTCTCTCTCTCTCTGACTTTCTCTCTCTAAGTGTCTTATCTGTCTCTCTCGGTCCATCTCTCTCTTTCTCTGCCTCTCTCTCCTCTCTGCCTCTCTCTCTGCTCCTCTCTCTCTCTCGCTGTACTTCACTCTCTCTTTATTTCACTCTCTCTCTATGTCACTCTCTCTCTCTCTGTGTGTAGCTCTCTGCCTGTCTCTCTCTGTCTCTCTCTCTCTCTCTCTCTCTCTCTCTCATTTCTCACATAAAGCAATTCTTTTATTCACCTACACGAAACACTTCAATGTGTTGAGATTGAATTTATTTTACTGCTGTCTACAGTGACGAAGCTCTTTGAAAATCTGGAGAAAAAAGATCGACTTTTGGGCTACACGGCCCTGAACAGAGCACTCTCTGAAAACGAAGTCAAAGAAATTTGCACAGCTGTAAGGTATTGGCAGTGATATTTTATTCCTTTGTTTAAATACGTCACATTGGGAATGTCGTCGGTGGGTCCTCGATCGTGAGCTCTTAATACCTTCCCCCACCAGCACATCTCCACACGGACCAGGCGCCGGGTCTCCCCGCCCACACCTGCGGCGGCACGCCGGGAACCTCCCCCCCCTGGCCTGGGGAACGTCAAGTCGACCGAAAACGCTGCGTTTAAAGCATTCGCGGTCCACTCTCCCTTGGGTCTGGGCGGCTTTGGTTCCACTCCGGGAAAGGGGGGGGGGGTGTTGCGTTACCTCCCCCACCGCCAAATGAGTCTTTCGGCCGGGACGGAAGTTGGGACGAGAACATTCTGTTAAGATATTGTTTGCAGAGTTGACACCAATCAAATTTTCTTTATGGTTATTAATAGAACAATAGCGTCGATCTTTGCTATTGTAACTAGGAACATCAGATGACAAGACCAGTGCCAGATTAAAATTCTGGGGGGACGCAGGCAGTTCAGATTTTTGGGCACCCTCAAAATATTATATTTTAATGTCATGTCAGCAGTGGCGTAGCTCAGGTTGCTGCTGCACAGGGTGGGCTAAGCTTATTGCCAAATTCATTCAACAAGTGTGGAACCCCCCCCCCCTTTTTTCCCCACGCCTTTCCTGCACCAATGCACATTAGTTAACGGTAATTTTATTTTAAATAAAAATCATTTTAAAATATTTTAAAATACGTGTGTTACGTATTGTTTATTCTAAGAACCAAATCTAAAAAAACAGATTAAATCTTCTAAACCATGTATCAGTACTGGACAATAACATTATGCTCTGCGTCTCATTACTTACCTTTATTTTCATTGCTTTTTGACTGACATTGTGCCTCCTCCACCTTTTTAAAGTCACTTTGATATTTTTTTTTTTTTAATCAAAGCCGGCCCACTCCTCCCCCTTCATTCCTATGTTAGGGATATTGGCCTACTTACGATAACTTAGGTTTATTGACAATTCTAGCAGCTTCCTGAGGCTATCGCCCGGGGTGGCCACCCATTAGACGACCCCGCTTCGCATGACCCTTGCTAGGGCTCCCCCCCCCCCAATTGGGGGCTGCACCCAAACAAAGCCATGTCTTCCGGTAATAAATAAAAAGAGGGGAATAAAATAAAAACGCTGAGAGCCCCTTTAATCAGCTTCCTTGGGCTATCGCCCGGGGTGGCCACCCATTAGACGCCCCCGCTTCGCATGACCCTTGCTAGGGCTCCCCCCCCCCCCAATTGGAGGCTGCACTCAAACAAAGCCATGTCTTTCGGTAATAAATAAAAAGAGTGGAATAAAATAAAAACGCTGAGAGCCCCTTTAATATCATGGCGGATGACTTTAATATCATGACTGATGAATTTAATATCATGACTGATGATTTAATATCATGAATGATGACTTCAATATCATGACGGATGACTTTAATATCATGGGGAACACGTTAAATTAGCGCGAGGTCCCTATATGGCGTTAGGTCCCTAGAAGGCACTAGGTCCCTAGAAGGCACTAGGTCCCTAGAAGTTGCGAGGTCCCTAGAAAGAAGGTGCGAGGTCCCTAGAAGGCGCGAGGTCCCTAGAGGGCATGAGGTCCCTAGAAGGCGCTAGGTCTCTAGAAGGCGCGAGGCCGCTAGATGGCGCTAGGTCCAGAGATGGCACTAGGTCCCTAGATGGCACTAGGTCCCTAGGCGCGTGCCTCATTCGCCTTACTTCAACGTATAGGTAAAACGTCCATCACTTTTCTCTCACTTTTTATTAAATCCTTTGCGTTAACTTCGCTTTTGTTCGTGTCTTTCTGGCTTGGTGGCAAAAACTTTGGACGGCTTAAAGACCCACTTCCCGTCAACTTTGCGAGCTGAAACTTAACACATAGATTCGCTGCCGATGATAACATATTCTATCAAATCTTAAGCCCCAATACCACCCCCCAAAATCATTTCTTCCTGTTTTCAAGGGGAATATGAAGAAAATATGATGCCACTGATTTCAGACATTAAATTACTGATAAACTGCACTAAGTGAGATTGTTAAATAAAAAATAGATCGCAAGTGCGTTTTGTGCGTAATATTTTCTTTTGGTTTTTTTCTGAAATAGTTAATGAAATAAATCTGTGGTGTAAAAGTGGGTGGGCTATTAGAATATCTATATAGTTCAGGGGTGTGAAAAGAGTGTGCGCTTGCGAGCGGGGGGGGGGGTGTTAATTGGGATTCTTAAAAAGTGCACTAATTGAATACATTGTTGTCAAATTTTCAGCACCGTTCCCAAACTGCTCGGTGTCACATTTTATCCAGGATTCATACGAAAAACTTTGTTTTGATTTTGTTTTGATTGACGTCATTGATTTCACGTGTAACACTTTACCACCCCCCCCCACACACACACACACTTTTTTCCCTTGATTATGCGAAAGTTGTTTACTTTCTATTCGTTCTGAAGAATGCTATTGGGCGATGCAATTCATATATTTTTTTCCAGAGGGCTCTAACTCCCTCCCTATAAATAAGCCGTCAGTTTTCTCAGCCAGTAGAATCATTTTTTTTATTTTCCTAGACATTTACGAGACGTAATTTGGAGCCCTCCAAATTTTATTCTGCGTGTGTGTGTGTGTGCGTTTGTGTGTCTGTGTGTGTGCGTGTTTGTGTGTGTATGTGTAATTTATTTATTTTTTCTTTCGTGGATTATACCTTTTCCCTGTAAGTTAATATAGTTTTATTTCTATATATTTGATTTGGTATTATACAAAAAAAATGTAATAGTTTGTTGAATTGAACATTGTTAGAATCACTCGCTTTGGTATCGTATTCTTTTGATACTGGTTTTCAGTCCTTTATTTCTCAACAAACGAGCCAAATTTTAAAACAGATTAAATTTGCAAAACTATGTAAACTTGAAAACAGAAAGCTTGTCTTCCTTGGTGGCATCGTTCGTACCTGACAAAAATGTAAACATAGGGTTTGAGTTTCGATTGATATGTTTATGACATCAAGACAGAGACTTTGTTTCGCAATTGTTTAATGTTAAGTTCGTGTTTGTTTCAGGTCTTCTAGGGACCGTCTTCACACCCAGTGCAAGCTAAACTCAGCTCTAAGGGAGGTCATTGAGAGCAAGAGCGAAACCCCGGCGCCTGTATGCCCGACAAGTGGCCCGGCCCCGTGCCGATAGTCAGCACGCGCAGATGGTCAAAACACACCGATAGGCAACCCACGCAGATCGTCAACATGAGCAGATAGTCAACATGCGCCGTTTGTCAACGCACGCTCCGATCGTCGAAACGCGCAGATGGGCAACACGCGCAGAAAGTCAACATGGCTGCTGTAACGTCATCCAGAAACGCATTTGTGCTCACCCTTTGTTTTAAAAAGTGATACTCTACGATGATCCCTGAAAAATATTTTAAGATGATATTTAAACGTTGATTTATCGTGTTTTTTTTTGGACAGTGACTTGTTTCCTATAGTTATCTACCACTGTGTGTGTACACACATCGTCTCGAATTCCAGTTTGACCTTACCGCCTGTATTAAGATAATATTGACTAATTTACACTCGATAAGATGATTGTGTTTTTTTAATATAAATATATGAAGATGTAAAGAGAGATAAGATAGTGGGGGAAAATGGAGCAGGTTGTTACGTATTGGTTGTAATGTTGATATCAGTAAGCTTCACATCGCATCTTTCATACTTTAAAAACAAAAAAAAAAGTATTTTATTTTTTACATATAGTTACTTTTATACAATGTATATACACATTATATTGTTTACATTTCGGCAATAAAGAAAGAAACGAATATCATTTGTGTTGAATGTATTGGTGTGAATGCTGGATACTGATGTCATCAGCTGTATGTGTTTAACACAAAGAAAATGAACTTTTAATCAAAGTAATAAAATTTAGGAGACGTCACATTTTTTAGTAATAAATTTTAGATCTAGTGTTAGACTTTTAGGGTTAAACTGTTAGGGTTAGACTGTGTTAGGTTAGACTGCTTTAGGGTTAGACTGTGTTAGGGTTAGACTGCGTTAGGGTTCGATTTAAATTAGGTTTAAATTTCAAAGTTGATAATGCTATTAAATCTTCTAAAGAAGGGTTTGAGCAAATGAAGCAAAATATCAACTTTTGTTTTTAAAGGATGCAAAAATTCATAACACATTGTTGAAATAAAATGTACAGATTTACAAGATTTGATGAAAAAAAATCGGAATATCACATATTATGATGTGAGGAAATAATTTCTTGTGTACAGGTACATAATATGCTGAAATATTCGAGGCCGTATTAGTTGCAGGGCCCACACCATTGCTTTGAGATCAAATTAAATCTTTATGTTAACTTAACTCTGCCGTTGCTCGTCCAATAGGTATAGAATGTTGCAAAACTAAATTCAGGTGCCATCATGTGCTAAAACTCAAATGCATTCTAGCATTTTTGAGTTTATACATTGCCTGGAGAATATAAAGATTTAAGAGGCGAGAATAAGGGCAGAAAATTATCCTCAAGGATGAAAAAACTAGAATAAATGTAGTTAATGTTAGATGGGGGAGGGGGGTAAAAAAGATGTACTTATTCACTATAATTGCTAATTTTGGCGCGTCCCACACGAAAGTTTGAAATGAGCCCCCTCTTCCCAAAATTGTATTCAAGTATGCGCCAAAATGCATCATTGCATTTTGATTTTGCTGACAGTCTTCGGCACCCGCAATTTCTGCACTACCCCCCTTTCCCTCACGGTTATCAATAGGAAATTAGGGGGGGGGGGGTAGGGGAATATATGCTTGTGCCAAATGAAAAGTCTGGGGCACCCCCAAACCTGGGGGAATACAATTTTATTTCTGGCCTACCCCCCTTTCCCTAACGGTTAGCAATAGGAAATTAGGGGGGGGGGGGTAGGTGAATATATGCTTGTGCCAAATGAAAAGTCTGGGGCACGCCACAACCTGGGGGAATACAATTTATGTATGGCCCCATGCGCCATAATCCCCCATCCCCTGGGACGCTTCAAAATTCCATCTCCTGATCAAAAAGTCCAATAGAAACGCTGAATTCAAGTATACTCAAAAATGCACCTCTTGATTTTGAAATAACCAAAAAATTCTAGGGATCCCTCTTCCGCATAAGAACCTTCGGTGCCCTCGATTTCTGTCCAAATTTTCGATAAAAGTTATCACCAATTTCTGTGCCGATAGATACACTTTCTAGTGGAGTAGCTAGTATTAGTGCCATATAGATACATTGCCTAGTGGAGTATGACGTATTATTCACTATGACGTATTAGTGTCATGGATACACTGTCTAGTGGAGTAGCTAGTGTTAGTGCCATATAGATCCATTGCCTAGTGGAGTAGCTGGTATTAGTGCCATATAGATACATTGCCTAGTGGCGTAGCTAGTATTAGTGCCATATAGATACTTGCCTAGTGGAGTAGCTGGTATTAGTGCCATATAGATACATTGCCTAGTGGCGTAGCTAGTATTAGTGCCATATAGATACATTGCCTAGTGGAGTAGCTGGTATTAGTGCCATATAGATACATTGCCTAGTGGCGTAGCTAGTATTAGTGCCATATAGATACATTGCCTAGTGGCGTAGCTAGTATTAGTGTCATATAGATACATTGCCTAGTGGAGTAGCTAGTATTAGTGCCATATAGATACATTGCCTAGTGGAGTAGCTGGTATTAGTGCCATATAGATACACTGCCTAGTGGCGTAGCTGGTATTAGTGCCATATAGATACACTGCCTAGAGGAGTAGCTGGTATTAGTGCCATATAGATACACTGCCTAGTGGAGTAGCTGGTATTAGTGCCATATAGATACATTGCCTAGTGGAGTAGCTGGTATTAGTGCCATATAGATACACTGCCTAGTGGAGTAGCTGGTATTAGTGCCATATAGATACATTGCCTAGTGGCGTAGCTGGTATTAGTGCCATGTAGATACACTGCCTAGTGGAGGAGCTGGTATTAGTGCCATATAGATACACTGCCTAGTGGAGTAGCTGGTATTAGTGCCATATAGATACACTGCCTAGTGGAGTAGCTGGTATTAGTGCCATATAGATACACTGCCTAGTGGCGTAGCTAGTACCGCAATGGGCGTGCCAAGATTTTTGCCCTAATCCAAATTCACATTACAAACTCTGCAGTTATCCGAAAATGTCACCCCCTCCATATAAAGAAAACGTAACACCTGGATGGACCACCCCATCCACCCCTCCTCTTTCTACGCCGTTGGCAGAGAAGTAGCTAGAATGTTTGGCGTCAGTGACCCATTCGTCTGACGCTCGGGGACATTTCCCCCTCTGCCCCACTCTTAGCTTCAACTCTGGCCACTGGAAGTGCCCACCCTAAAATCCGGAGGAAGTTGTCTGAAAGAATCACCGCAAGTGAGGGGGCCACCGCAAGTGAGGGGGCCACCGCAAGTGAGGGGGCCACCGCAACCACGGAGCACCTGGGTCGGTTGGTAGTGTTGCACCTACAACACCATATGCTAAGTAATCCAACTAGCTCGTATCAACTAAATCCTATGGTTTGAATCCATGCACTGATAATTTATTTAGCGAGAACAAATATAGGACTAAATATTAAATAGGAGCCCAGAAACCTTGACTTATTAAACCAATGGGAGTCGCTTAGTCACTTCCTTGTTTGGTCACGTGAAGTGAGTAAGCCATCACTACGCTGCTACACACAACAAAAGATACTTCATCAGTGCTTCCCCAATGTCATGTTACTTAAAAATTTTACCTTTCGAAATATTCTGGAATACACGCGTTTTTTAAATGAAATCCATAAATGTGACAATAAATATACGTCAGTTATGATTAAAGGAAGAAAGTTATTTCAAGAAAAATTTGTGAGCGATATTCGATGGGAACTATCAATACTATTATCGGTAGGATGTTGTTGAGCTCCGTGCGTGCTCATGACGTCATTTGCGTTTTTATTCAATATTGATGCAGGGGTCATTCCCCTTTGTTTATTTTATTGTTAATTTTCATTGGACGAAATGTAGTGTAGTTGTAGTGTGTATCGGGCTACTGTTGTCAAGCACTAGTGTGTTGTGTACAGCCTACCGGAAGTCTTACTTGTTTTTACTCACATCACGTGACAAATCAATCGACTAAGCGACTCCCATTTCAATGATGGGATGAAACATTAGTTTTTTTTTTAAATACCATAGGATTATAATGGCTATATTTCTAATCATTTTCCCGATGCAATGTAAAAAAAAAAGCCAACTGATTTATAGAAATATGCATTTTATTTAAGTCTGTACTGTTGTTCGGTATTCTAGCTTTTTTCTTATGACATGTATGTGGGAGTACATTGTAAAATAAATTTTAGTGTCCCTGATTACGACATTATCTCGCCACTGTCCTCTCCTAATGAATATCTGTTCTGAAATTCTGTATAATAACTATGAAGTTTCTATTTCTATTAATGACATAAATGTTCACAAAAGACTTTTCTGGCTTTTCTTCGGCTTAAAGTGACGTAGTCCACAATACACAAAGTCTGACGCATTTCCTGTTAACAACCAATGTTTACATTTTCTACACTGTAAACCCATAAACTAAGGTAGTAAAAAAAACTTGTACAGAGGAATTCTTTGATAACACTGCAAAATGTACGACGATCTGAAACGAGCTAGAACTAAATTAGGGAAACCTTACATTTATGCCGGCTGTGGGCGGTCAACATTGGGCTTATTACTTCAACAACAGCACAGGCTGGACATGCTGACCGTCGGTCGAAATTTCCATCGAAGCTGGAATCCGAACAGATTTAGGCCAGAGCCCGGCTTTACTGGAGCTTCCTATCGCCTGGCCCAACTCAACCCCCTGGCCCTGATGCGCAACAGGTTGATCTCTAGGATAGCACTTGCTTCGAGGTCGCATCATTTAAAAGGTAAACACAAATATATATTGGCAAAGCACCATGAGGAAACAGAATGAGAAACAAGTTGAAGAATTCGAACAAATATTTATATAATATAATATAGTGATGGGGCAAATTAAAAGAGAGCATGAACAGAAGAAAGTTTTTACCGTATCGTTACAAAATTATGGATTTGTAACTCGTTTTGGCTTACCCTCGTTTTACTGAAATTCCTAAATTGCTTGAGAGTGAGAGTCAACTTTAATCAATGTGTTATAGGAGAGTCGACTTAAGAGAGTCGGTTATGAGAGTCAACTTATGCACTGTATTGGATTCTTGATATCATCTTCTTCTTCTATATATTAAGACCCACGATCAATTTATTGATTATTTTTGGCTCCTATGCATGTAGAGGGGATTTGCAATGTTTCTGTGCCCGGTGCTGATGAGGATATTTCAATGATTACAAGTGCTACTTTGTGAAGGAATCATGCAATGGGGGTTGGAAGGCTTGAGGCAATAGACGCAAATGTGTCTAGTATTGTCGCCTCAACTGTTTCTTTTGAAAGCTTGTTCCAGTCCCTGATTGTTTTGGGCAGGAATGGGCAATTCCTATACTGGCTTCTTGCTGGTATGAGCCGGAATTGCCTGTCATGGCCTCGTTGCTGTCTATGGGCGCGAGGGACGAGTTTATTTATTTAGGCATTTTTATATAGCGCTTACCATAAAGCTCTAAGCCCTTTACAATTATGAAAAACATGTAAACTAAGTAAAATAAAAATGAGACACTAGGATAGTAACTACTATACTATAGAAACAATTAAAATGGCTATAAAACGAGGACACTTTGACACGTTTTGGCCTATACTTCAGGATCAACCCAAAACAGAAAATGAGGCAGGGCAAGGAGGGTGCATCACAGGTCATAGTTTCTGTTTAATACTGAACCAGTGGACCAGCCCATTATTTATTTTGTACATCATGGAGAGCCTGGATTGTCGTCGTCGTTCCTCCAATGGTGACCAGCCTAGTGTTTCCAGCATACTGCCAACACTAGAGGTATTCCTGTATCGGTTCAGGACAAAGCGAGCCGCCCGTCGCTGAACGCCTCCAACCTGTCAATGTTCTTCTGGGTAAATGGGTCCCAGACTGAAGATGCATAATCTAAAATCGGACGGAAAAAGGCTTTATATGCTCTTTCTTTTACACAGGAGTTTCCAATCTTCAGGTTACGCTTTAAGATCACCAGGGTCTTCTTTGCTTGGTTACATACATAATTTTTAATATGCTCGTCTCAGCATTTCAGCATCGACAAAAGTAATCAATAAGTATAAGGTGCATAATTAAATTTAGTTTCTATATTAAAACAAAACTATTTCTGCACTTTTAAAATTGAACATCGTGCTTCCCTTACGTATAAAAAATTAAATATTGTTATTTTACGGGCATATTGATATTAATATATTGAGTTATTATTTAGTTATTATTTAGGCGGTATTTAATTTTAATTTTAATATTTAATAATGAAACCGATTTTAAAAAATTATTTTAATCATTTTCGCTTTACCGGCAAATGAAAAAAAAAAATTAAACACTGGTGATTAATATCGTAAGTCAATTTTAAATTGTAATCCCCCAAGCCTAGAGTTGTCCTACACACGTTTTGAGTCCACTAGTGCCCCCCAGGCCTGGTGTTGTCCTGCCCACGTTTTGAGTCCACTAGTGCCTCCCAGGCCTAGAGTTGTCCTGCCCAACTTTTGAGTCCACTATTGCCCCCCCCCCCAGGCCTAGAGTTGTCCTGCCCACGTTTTGGGTCCACCAGTACCCCCCACGCCTAGAGTTGTCCTGTCCCCGTTTTGAGTCCACCAGTGCCCCCCATGCCTAGAGTTGTCCTGACCATGATTTGAGTCCACTTGTGCCTAGCACATATCTGAAAACTGAAAATTATTATATTTAACATATGATGCTTCTTTGTGCCTCGCCAAGCCGAAGACTTCAGTACTGGCGCCACCCCTCTCCATCATAACTATGACCTACTTGGCGACTGCATGAGCGCAACACTTCTAGGGAGCCGACCAACAAGCCACTCAAGACCCTGGGTCAGGGACATCGCTGGAATTCTTAAGGACTCTGACATTATTGAACAGCTTTTCCAAATTATTTCGCCCAAAATGCAGTGCAGTGATAACGACGGTCCCCTCGTTTTACCAAGTGACCCCAGTCATGGGTGCGCCGGAGGCAGTGAGAGCGACTGCTCTTTTGAGTTAGAAGGGGAAGACAAATACTCGGAGACATGTGACAAATGCGACGAGTGGTGCGTTGACGCGGACGTGCTTTCGTTTAGCTTCGATGACGATTACGACGAGTCTCTAGAGGCCGACGACCATCAACCGTGGATGAATGACGTGTGGTTTGGAAACTCCCACAGCACTCTGAAACAATCAAACCTCAATTGGTCGTTCGACACCAAGACCAGGGACGGTCAACGTATGTATGATCAAGAAAGTCCGCGGAGTCCCTGGGAGGTAAAAAGTGAGCCGAACATTTACTACCTTGCAAACCGAAATCATCTTCCGCCCAGCACGTCCGCGCACGACAGCTTCCCTTACGAGCCGAGGGCCCATTCGCTTCCAGGCGAACAGTCGGACAATGACAACGAGCTGCCGTGTTTAAACCACAACACCAGCGTGGCCAGTTTGTGTGACGCCGTCAACGATATGTTCGCGAGTGATCAGTTCCCTCTGGATGAGATGATGCCTTTGTGTACCGCTAGGAACATCCCATGTTTTGAAACTCAGTTACATACAGATCTACTCGGGGATAATTCCCTTTGTGAGAACAATGATTTGCTCGACGCCGATAATTTCATGCGCTGCAGACAAAATTGTATCGACAACATGAAAGACACCTACACACTGTCTGGATTCCCGGCGCCCGAGGACAAGAAACGTTACCCCAACGCAGACGACGGTGCGCGCGGTGATGGGATCCATTTCAATCTGGGAATTCCCGCTACCTGGTGGTGCCAAGGGGACGGCACCGCTCTCAGCAGCAAGGGTGGCTTTGCCATGTTTCCCGACCCATCTCCACAAGATCGTCTTGCGAGGATCACGTATAAAACCCAACCTTCCGACGCGTCATCTGCAGATGCGCCCATGTTTGTGTTCTCCTCTGCCGTCGGTACGGTAAACAAGAACACATCTTCCGCCAGGGTGAGTAACTTACAGAATATCCGCGTGTTCAAAAATCAATTGTCTATCATAATATTAATACAGGTACACACGTTGATATATATGCCGGTATTATAAACAAGTCCTAAATGGTCTTCAGGTAAGTGACATCTGCTTTAGTGCTACATAAGTGGGGGAAAGAGGGTCATATTCTATAATATTACAGACCTAAGAAAACAAGATATTAAAAAAAAAAAAAACATCATTAAAATCTATAGTTTACGTTAGAGAGTGAGGTAAAAAAAATCTTTCGAGGATTATGACTGAGACTGCAACAAGGCGAATTTAAATGACGAGACTGACGTCAGAATAATTCGGATATACGCTCATTGCCAAATGAAAAGCACGTTTCAATGTTTATGGAGACTTTGAGGCGGACTAAGCTTAACCTTGGCCGTTGCGTGCACCCTGCTACTCCTTCGGCTGCAGGGGGCCTCTGATAGGCACCTCAACGTTTTATCATGTAACCGCCACTTTGAATGCAGATGGGCAGAGACCCAAAAAGGGCCAGGGCGCCTCCTAAAGTCACGTGACGTTCATGAGCTTCATCAACCATATCTTGTCATTTCTTGGGGCATAAATATTTAGAATCTCGTTTAAAAATTGACAGCAACAAAGTTTGTTTCATTGCAAAAATAAAATACACAACTTCTTAAATCCGTGTCTGTATTTTTTTAGTAAACGAACTTGCAGTTAAGATATTGTGGGAAGTCATGACTACAAAAATCCATAACACACTATTTTACGGATCATTACATAGATTGTTTCATTATAATTTTAATACAATTTTGGGAAGTTTACCAATAAAATAATGTATATTTTAGCTAAGCGCATAAATGTCTTCACCATGGCAGGTCATCCCGCTAGATTTCAATTTGAACGCTGTCTACAAAACCGCTCCCCACGACGAGAGGGGCGCCGGGGACACAAAAGTCGCACCGGAGGAAGACACGAATTTTTCCACCGTAAAGCGCAGTCCGCCAGAGGGCAGCACTGACACGAATGACTTGCCGCGCTGTAGGCTGGATGAACCACGTGACAGTGAAACCTTTCCCGACCCACCAGAAACTGATTGCAGTACAGCCAAAAATTGGTTCAACGATCAAAGTCACGATGACAGTCAGGTGGATGCTCTGCCACAAAAGTAAGTCAATACAGCTTTAGGGACAGTTGGGCGGACTTGGGTCAAACTCACTAGGACTTGACGATGATGGTGTTCGTCCTTCGAATGCGAAGATGACCACAAGGCTATATTACACGGTCAGTATGCAGGTGGCCGGTCAGTACGCAGGTGGCCGGTCAGTACGCAGGTGGCCGGTCAGTCCTTTAAGGGCCTGGAAAGTTTTTCCACACGTGGGACAAACATTGTTTTTTGGGTCCTCGCAAGATTTGAGTCTGCTTTCCTTGCAGTGGATGTTCTTTTGGCGTGAGTGGTGTGCATATTCTCTGTGGATTTTCGCACCGACAGTGAGTCGACCACACCAGCTTGCACGGTCCGTGGCAAATGTCTCCGACGAATTAAAGTCAGTGTCAATGGATTTAAGTGAATATTTTAGAAGTGTTTTTTTTTTCTTTTCTGTCCACCAACTGAATGTTTCCCACCGGAGAGTTCACCGAACATTCGCCATTTGGGAAGTCTGCTGTCTGGCATTCTTGTGACATGCCCTTCCCATCTACCTTGTCCTCTTTTGCAAGAGCGAGTTCCATTCTTCAGTTGTAAACACCAGCAATGGAATTACTATATAATACTAATAATACATTTTTTTAAGGTACGAGTTCCATTTTTATAAAATATGAGGCACGCCTTTTTACGCCCCCCCCCCCCCCACTTTCTGAGTAAATATAAATTTCTTGACCATGTTTGAATGTCAGTTGTCTTGTCTGCTTCGACAGCCGAGGTGTGCAAGCGCCAGGCCAGACGTTGAAGTGGAGCATCATGCTCGCCTTGTGTGTTGTTGTGTTGAGTGCTCTCATACCACATTACTGGACCCGTGAGTCTTTTCTTCGTCTGCTGTGGGCAAGTAATTCACCACTCAACCTTTTATCACCCGTTAAATTAGTTTGTACACGTTACATAAGAAGATTTCAATCAATAAATATAAACCGCGAATCAGTCGAAGGTATCTAAAGCTATCAATAACATGATGATTGCAACTTTGACACGTTTGCCAATAAGTTTTGTGTTTTAACAGGATCTGTTCATGCATGCATGTCTAGTTGGCCTACTGCTTGTGTTAATTCTCTTCTGCTTAGAAGGTAATGTGTGGTTGAATCAAGATTATATTTACAAATAATTACACTTTCTAAAAACATCTAACATTGTTCTAAAAAAAAAAAAAAAAAAAAAAACTATCATGTTTAAAAATATGTTGTTTTTTTTAGTTTGATAAATTTGACTGTGTTTAGTTGGGGCCACATTCGAGGCGACAAAAACAAATAAAATGAACCAAACTCATATTCGTTTGATCTAGACAATCAGTTCTAAAACATCTGGAGAGAAGAAACAATGTTTATATTAAAAAATGTAATTAAATCCCTGTTTGTAGGTCGGCCTTTACTTCATTGGATCTTTGAAAACTGACCTTACAAAAATAAATATTTAATCGAGTTGCACAAAATCCGCAAATGTTATAATTATTATTTATTTTTTTTACACTGTTTTTTTTTTTACATATGGGCATTTGACACTATGCATTACACTATGTATGCCACTGTGTGTGCCACTATGTGTGCCACTGTGTGTGCCACTGTGTGTGCCACTGTGTGTGCCACTGTGTGTGCCACTGTGTGTGCCACTGTGTGTGCCACTGTGTATGTCACTATGTATGCCACTGTGTGTGCCACTATGTATGCCACTATGTCTGACACTGTATTACTTCTCCTAGTTCATTGCTCACTGCCTCGTGTTTTAAAGTAATTTTGTCGTAAGCAACATTTTTAAAGGAACTGTTTTGACCTAAAAAAAAATTAATATTTACAATTAGCTCAAATATAGCATAACGGATATGATCTTTCGAGATTTTTTTTTTTTTAATTTATTTTTTTTTTTAAATTTTATTTAACAGCTAATAACCTGACAGAAATTGTTGTGAGGAAGCTGCAAGTGTTCATCAAGGCTCCCATATCTACATCGCGAAAGTTGGTACACGGCGACCGCACACTACTTCCGGTTGAAAGGCCAGTGATCAGACCAGCAACACTTCCGTCATCGAAAAACGCCACTGTTAGACCAGACAGCGATGGCGTACCAGAAGCTACCTCACTTTTAGTTGGCTCCAAAACACAAAAAGACGGCGAAGGTATAAACAACCCCAGATCGGTTATCAATTTAGCTGAGAAATCCAAGAATCCAGCGGATGGTAATGGCGTTGCTTTAGGCGAAAACTCTGGAACGTCAGCAACAAAGGACGCTCCCATTATTTCTGGTGGCAGTGACGGATTGAATATGTCGACCAAAGGTCCATCATCCTCGAGCTCTACGGCGCATGTCCCGGATGTGGACGGTGAGGAAACAAATGCAACTGAACCGATTCTAACATTGACATCTGATGACATATGCTCATTAAATAATGATGAACCCCCGAGCAACGTCTCGGAGGATGACATTGATGTCAAGAGCCTGAACGCCTTAAAACACATCTTCACCGAGACATCCACCATGACAGATGTGTATCCTGACACGAAATACAGCGCCGGCTTAGTGTCTACGGAATGCAGGTCGGTCTAATTGAGGAACTTTTTGTATTTATTTATGTTGTTTTTAATCCCAAGAAGTAATTATTTTTATTTAGCCTAATTTGACCTGCACTGGCTTCGTTTTCGACTGTTAAATAATTTTCTTTCTATAGAGTTATACAAACAATAATATATAAATAATTCACATCACATTATAGAAACGATTTCAACAGGACGCCTACCCCACAGCCCTAATCCTATCCCACAGCCCTAATCCTATCCCACAGCCCTAATCCTACCCCATAGCCCTAATCCTACCCCACATCCTTAATCCTACCCCACATCCCAAATCCTACCCCACATCCCTAATCCTAACAAATAGCCCTAATCCTACCCCACAGCCCTAATCCTACCCCACAGCCCTAATCCTACCCCACAGCCCTAATCCTACTCCTAAGCTCTAATCCTACCCCTCAGCTCTAATCCTACCCCTAACCCTAACCCTAACCCTAACCCTAACCCTAACCCTAACCCTAACCCTAACCATACCCCTACCCCTAACCCTAACCCTAACCC